TCAGGAGGGCAGCTCCACATGGGAGGGAGGGATTCAGGGGGGGGGCAGCTTTGCACAGGAGGAATATGCTCTGTGCTCACCTGATACGGCTTGGCCAGGGGGCGGGGCCTCAAGGGGAAGAGGAGGAGCAGGGTGGCGGGGTCCCGGTAGGAGGGAGAGTAGGAGCAAGTGGGGGGCAGAGTTCTGGCTTGCGGAGGGGACCCTCCAATTGTTCAGGGCCTCTGGGCACCAACCCCATATGGTAATCCACCACTGATCCTGTTTTACACCAGCTGAGGATCTGGCCCCATACTGCAACATGGCATGGCTGTAGTAAAACTCTTGGTAGGCTTCCACTTTGAATAGAGGCTGCTCCCTCTTTGAGAGTATTATGCATTTATTTCTTTAGCTTCTCCTTTTCTTTTTCTCCTTCAGTAGCAACCTCCAGCATTTGTATTTCTTGCAAGGTTCAGATGTTAGGGAGAGTACAGTTCTTTTTAAGCCTTGATTATGCATGTACTACTTAAGTGCTCTCCTGAATCGGGGCCGCTATTACCAAGCTAATTATGACTGCACTACTTAAAAACACAAAGACTTCTTTGTTTATAGCTATTGTTCCTTAACATAACTTTGAGTCACCCTAAGTAAAGTAGCTCTGTGAGATCTGTTATGTCCCTGGCTTAAAAAATAAAATAACTTTTTACTAGATTACACTAATATTTTGTAATTCACTCTTAATATTCAATAAAGCTCTGCACAATCCATCCCACAGGAGGAATATGTGCCAGATGTCAAACACATTTGCTTCAGATACCAGAGTTCATGAGCTTTCATGTTTGTTAATGTGATGCCATGGAAATTATTTAAAAAAAAATAAAAGTATAGCAGAATCAGGTGTTCTTATGGGCAGTTTTCAATGATATAATCTTTCCTGGAACAGGTCTTTCCTGTTTTTTTCCTAAGCATTCAAGTATTGGGAACAATTGTAACCTTACTATTGAACAGAGTCCAACTGTACTATGATTTGCACTGAAATAAAGACAACGTCAAAGATATCTCCAGTTTCAAAAGTTTCCTCCTGTGAGCTGCAGATTACAACCTCCTGCTTGGTTCTCCATTCCCCTGGTATAGTGGTTGAAAATTGTAGTACAGGTAGCACAGTCATGTGGTGCATAGGTTGGTTTATAGCATAATATCAGAATAAGAAACTATTTTAACTATATTGATTAAAATGACAAAGGTGGTATGCCCACTATTATTGACTGTTTGTATTACTATAGTGCCTAGGAGCCCTAGAGGTGGACCAGGACCCCACTGTGATTCTTGGATGTAGTGTACTAGGTCTTAAAGTCAGAGACCCTCCGCCTGGCACATTCTCATAGACTTAAGACGCCTTGAAGAGGTCCTGCGATGCCATGGGCTCTGTTGTCAACCATATGCTGATAGTATCTAGTTCCATCTCCTTGTCAGTAGATATGACAATGGCATCACAAAGCCTACATAAGATCAGTGCCCAGATGAAGAGCAGCTGGCTCATACTGAAGCCAAAGAAGACTGAAATGATACTGTTGAGCAGTGCCAGAACATGGCACTGACCTCTCCATCAACCTATCCTCCATTAATCAAGATGGTATGACGTCTCATGGTCTTCCTAGTGTCATCACTAATCCTGGATGCCCAGGCAGAAACAATGTCAAGAAATGCCTTCTTCCATCTCCTTCTTGCCAAGAAACTGCACCTGTTCCTTTCAGATGATTATTTCCCCACAGTGACCCATATGTTTGTCATTCTCTAGGGCTGAAGATGGAAGCAAGATGGAAACTCCAGCTTACCCAGAACTCAGTGTCCAGCCTTGAGAACAAATCACATCACTGTCCCACATACCCTGCCCTCCACATGCCATCCAATTCCTGGCCAATGCCAATTTGAGGGCTTGAAGAAGGCCCAGCTACCTCAGAAACAACCCCGCCAAGCACAACACATCAGTACAGCTGAATTTCCATGTGTCAGAACACAAAGCCCAGGGTAAAACTCTTGAGAGACAGAGATAAGGGTTTTTTTGTCAAGAGCCTTCAGTAGTGGGATGACATACCAGCATCAAAAAGACTCAGCCCAACTTGGCTTATTTTCAGAGCATGTTTTATAGTTTTTCATAAAAGTTTTCTTGCTATAACCAAAGGCAAGGAATTAGAACAAGAAGACAAAACAAACCACCCCAAAGACACAGTTAATCAAGGCTGCTGAACCAGGGGAGGCAAAGCAAAGAGACTGCTATGAACAATTCTGGTGAATCTTCCTACTTAATTATTTGATGTTCTGTGCTCCCTAGAAACACTTTAGATATACTATCTATATCTATATAAATCTATTAGATTTGTGTTGCAAAAGCATTGCAGTATTGAATATCTGGCAGCCATTGCAAATAGTAACTAGAAATCTCAATGAGAAATGTCAGAAAAGTATTAAATTAAATATATACTTGAAAAAAGGAAACTCAAATGTAATCGCTGCTGGTTGAATTATAACAGCTCTATATAATGAAGGGTATGACCCACACCTTGTGTCTGGGGGAGAAAAGGTTTAAACTCTCAATGAGCAGAGAAGGGAATCCCATTGTCTGTTAAACTGCAAAGGTTGCACTGGGGTGGAAAAGGTGGAATCCAGCGGAGATTATTCTTCATCAGGACAGGCAGGATGGAGGGACGCAGTTTGGGGTTCCTCCCAATGAGAACTCAAGGGACAGAGTCTGTCTGAAGAAGTTTTTATGGAATTGAAAGACTCTGGCTGCAGAAGTTGGCTGCAAGGAAGGTGTGTTAACTTCTTACAGGCTCTGGCTGAGAAGAATTTATATTCTTCTGTTTAAATACCTTGCCTGCTGGACACTTTTCTCTCTCAGAATGCGATGGATAAAACAGCTTTCTTTAATCACTAAGCACAGACCTGGGCCAGGCACCCTTTGCTGTGTGTCCCCGCAGAGCCCTAGTTTTAAATCCTGAAAGCTGGACAAGGAATATATGCTGATGTACGCTTACCAAAATAACTGCTATATGCCCAACTCACCAAAGGAAAAAGGAAACGAGGAGGCCAAAAGAAATGCTTTAAAGACACACTCAAGATAAACATCAAGAGATGTGGCATCGACACCGCACACTGGGAGACAGCACCCCAGGATAGGGGTAACTGGCGAAGACTTGTCAGAGAGGGAACATCTACTTTTGAGGAAAATCGCCTTGCCCTGGTCTCAGAAAAACACCAGAAAAGAAAAGAAAGACAACGGTCATGCAGCAATCGCGGCCCAACCGTATGTTCCAACACCACCTGCAATGTCTGCCAAAGACGCTGTGGCACAAGAATCGGACTCTTCAGTCACCAAAGGACCCATGAAAAATAAAACCTGTGAAAGAGATCATCCTCGACCATGAGGGATTGCCAACGACGATAAATACCTATATGGGGAACAACTATCTAATAATAGGCTCTTCAATCTAGCACACAAAGGTATAACGTGATCCAGTGGCTGGAAGTTGAAGTTGAAGCTACAGAAATTCTGACTGGAAAAAAGGAGAAACAATGAGAGTAAATAATCATTGTAACAACTTATTAAGGATCATGGTGGAGTCTTCATCAGTGACAATTTTTAAATCACGATTGGATGTTTTTCTAAAAGATCTGCTCTAGAAATTATTTTGGGAAGTTCCATGGCCTGTGTTACACAGGAGGTCAGGCTAGATGATCACAATGGTCCCTTCTGGCCTTGGAATCTGTGAAATCAACTATTGTCATGAACAGTAAAAATATATTGTTAAAATCAATTAAATGTAAAGTGATGCCTTGAAAGATTTATTTAAGGTAAGCTTCAGACAAACAGATGTTTTAGAAATAGTAGCAAATTACTTTTATGTCTTTAAAATATTGCAGCAGACTAGTTAGTGTGCCCTCTGCTGGAGAGAATAAGGGCTGCTCAACCACGTGGGGGTTGGCTCTGTACTAGTGACAGAGATTAAGAGCCTATGCTTTTGGAGTGGGAAGAGTTGAGGCTCTGAAGTTTCATGTGGCTATGCCACATAACATGGTGACAGACATGATATTCATAGTTGGCATCAGATCTGTGACAATATGAATTTTAAATATTCTAAAACTGGGGAAACCTCAAAAGCGCTATAGTTCAGGTGCATTTAGTTTGAGCACTCAAAATTTGGAGGCTTTTTTTTAACTTTCCAAAATTATAGATTCTGCAGAATTGCACTGGAAATCCTGAGTGCCTGGTGTCTCTATTTTCCATTTCTACAGCTGAAAATGCCACAAGTAGAGCCTCTCTCAAGGGATTTTGTCATTTCTGGTTTTGATCTTTGCCAGAACTGGAAGGGAGGAAGGGGAAGTGGGGGAAAGAGAGGACCTACCTGAACACTGAACCTATGTAAACATTTTGGAATCTCACGAAACATTCAGTTAGTGATTGAGTCTAGAAATGAGCAAATGTTTTTGGGGGAAATTCTGAATTGCTTCACTATATAGACTGTGAAGACTGGGGGGCTTTACAGTACAGTGCCTAGCACAAGTGGGAGCTGTTTCCTGTCTGGGGCCTCTGGGCATTATACCAATATAAATAATAATTCACCCCTCCCTAAATATTCTCTTCTACAGAGGTTTTATTGCACTCAGCACCATAGTATGTGGGCCCAATCCTGATAATAAGGGCCTAATCCCAGTCCCAATTCGTTCATCGGGAATGTTGCCATTGACTTCAATGGGAGCAGGATGGGCACCTACGTACCACAGTAACGGGGAAGTTAATTTAATGACATGTTTCCTGAGTTTTGCCCTTCTGAGAAATCCCGTAAGCAGCTACACCTGTGAGGAGCTGCGGTCAGCCTCGCAGACTGGAAGTTACCAGGGGAACCAGCTCCCTCCTCTCCTAACAAGAGCGATCAATCACTGACCAAGGGGAACCGCTCCACTGAGGGAGGACACCTGAGGTTTACAGCGGGCTGGGACTGCAGGCGTTAGGACCCAAGGGAAAGGCTGCTGCAGCGGGTGTCAAGGAGAGCGCTGGGCAGGTAAGGAAGCCAGTGCCTGGGGAGACAAGGGAAGAGGGCAGAGAGCTGCGGCACCAGAATCGCTTTCAGGGGGAGAGAGCGGCTGAGCCCAGCACCAGCTGTGTTACGGGGGCAGGCGAGGGCAGCCCTGGCAATAAAAGCTTAGAGCTAGCTGTGTACAAGAAGGCTGGGGAGAGGCTGTAGCTGGGAGGGAACCGCACTGAGCCTACAGGTAGCTGGGGCAAAGTCCAGGAGGTGGGTGCCTAGAGCCAGCTGTGCAGAGGAGGCTGGGGGATAAATGCTGGGCATTGAGTCCTAAAGCCAGCAGTGTGCAGGGGACAGACGCTAGGCACTGAATGCTAGAGCCAGCTGTGTGCAGGTGGGATCATGGGACAGACGGTGGGTATTGAGGGCTAGAGCCAGCTGTGTGCCGCGGAGGCTGGGGGAGGAGCAGGTGCAAGCGCCGTCCGCTCTGCAGCATGGCGAGGAAGCCTAGCACCCAGCTGCCAAGTGTCCTGCCCGCCCAGAGGAAGCTCCGCAGCGGTTTTGCCAAGTCCCGGCCCCTGTGAGGAGGGGAGAAGTTGGCGGTGAGTCTCTCACAGCAGCCAGCCCCCAGCCTCTGCCTGGCCCCGGCGCCCTGGGGAGGAGTCAGGTGTCTCCAGCGGGGCAGCTCAGCTGCGCCGGACGCCGCTACACCTGCCGGGAGGAGGATGAGGAGCCGCCCTGCCTGAGGGGAGATTGCCGAGGTAACCAACCCAGTCCCCAGCGGCGCGGGGGAGCCCGTCTCATTGGGATTTTTGCCTGACGCGGGGATCTTGCTGGTCTGTTTGAGGAGGCTCTAAAGTCCCACGGGGTAAAGTTCTGGGCTCTCCCGCGGTCAGCTTGTCCCAGCCTCGCCACGGCCCTTTTAGCCCTCCACGGGTTAGAAGGGTTTTCCCGTTGCACTAAACGTAACCAAAAAGTGCAGCCGAAGCCCCGAACTGAAACATGACCCCTCTGTAAAGGGCTAACAGCAGCATGTGCTTGGTTACTTTACCCAATCTGAAAACCCGGGCAGAGGTCTTCTTTAAAACAAAAAATTACTCCCTGTTAGTGAGTGATGTTGCTCTGTCCTTCAGAGGCCTAAAAATGAAAACCACAGGCCCATGCGAGCTACAACCCCATGTCTTGTATTCTTGCACTCTAACATTAGGGAAAGTATCCAGGGCATTATATTGTGATATTGCCTTCTCTTTGTCGGATGCAGCCAGTCTGCTCTCTTTGGCAAATTGCAGGAGTGAGATGGCAATGTAGCTACATAACTGATAAAGCACTTATTTTGAAGGAGTGTCAGACAATCCCCACAGTCAATGGTTGGGTTCTAGAAACAATTGAGTTAATTCCACCCCTCCCCCTCTATATAATCACTAATCTGAAGACTAAAGTTTAGCTCTACAGGTTTCACAAGAACTACATTATTGTAAACCCACACTGCAACAGCAATGTGCTCTGTAATTCATGCTGTGCCTGGCTATTGCAAGAAGTGTTCCCTAAGAGTAACTAGGAACAGAGTTAGGAGAGGGTGTTGGAGAAATTCTGATTGGGGCCAGCCTTTAACTGTAACCACTTGGTTTGTTGGTATTTAAATTTTTAAATATTAAGAGCTGATTGAAATGTGAATTGACATGTGCATGCATTAGGTTTATATACATACAAAATGTAAAATATTAGAGTGCAGATTATCATTCCATGCTGATATATACAAGGTTCCTGTGCAAGGGAAATAAACTGTGCTTAACTTTATGTATGAGACTGTTCATGTGTGTAAAGTTAGACATGCATAAATGTTTGTTGGATCAGGGCATTAGTTTTTATAACTTCACTCAATCTTTGTCACTTTTGCTAGTGGGATAAAGGTAGTTCTGTGTAACTTCAGCTGGCAAAGTATCAGTTGTAGACCTTGGTAATCACTTATCTGTTCATGAGAGGTGCTGAGGGCTCACAACTTCCATTGACTTGAGTGGGAAGTCAAATTGAGTCAATGGGGCTGAAGAAATCCATCTATGTGCTACAGCTTGCAATATTGGGGCTTTTGTTTTTTATTACAATCTCATATTAGTTTTAAGCTGACAGTATCCCATTAAAAATCTGCTTGCAACAGGTCTTTCCTTCAAGTTGCAAACAGCCAAGAATGGAGCTTGATGGTGGAACTAGTTACTACATTCAACTATAGAATCATTAACTTTGCATAAATTATGCCATAGTCCATTTGTAATTCAGAATTCTCACATTGAATCAATTACTAAATCATCATTACTGCATGAAGTTGTTTGACTTAAAATTAAAATATTTCATGTAAACCAAGACTGATTATGACCAAAATCCAACTGGGCATTGTTCATTCTTAAACTCAGACAAGGAGCATTGTAACTAATCTAATCACATGCAAAGGAGCTCTTTACAGAACTAGTGGTTTAGCCGAACCACAAACAAAAGTAGAGTATTGTCAATGAGGCATCTCTCCCTTATTAGCAACAGAACACACCTCATATCAACATATTCCAAATTTATAATATGCTTTGTCTATTAACCCTGGTCTATTAACCTCCAGGTATCATTTGTGAATTGGAAGTGGCTTCAAAACATCCTGTTCTAAAGCCAGGCTGTACTTTTGTTAATGCATTCTGTATGCTTGGGTTATTGGGTGTGTTCAGGCACTCTAGTCATTAAAGTAGCACTGTAAGAATAAAGATTCGTTGTAATTAAGCTCATCTTATAACTTTCTTTAAGCATTAGGCATGCTGCCATACTGAAAGCAACACATTTCACTAGTTAAGAATGAAAGGCAAATATTGTGGCACTGAATCTCCTCTAACTTACACTGGTGTATATTGGCAGTAACTCCACTGAAGTCAATGGAGTTGTAACAATGAGAGGAGGAGAACTAGGCTCTGGACTTTCCTCACTAGCAAATCTGACAATAATACTCTTAACTTTGACTTTGCTTGATTGATTGAAATGACCCACTGATTGAGATGTGTGTTTTGTTTTGTTTTTTTCTGACCATTAGCAAAACTACTCATTCACTTCTTACTTTGGGCTTTTATTTAATTTTGCAACCTAGCTAACTGTATTTAGAGCAAGCTAGTACATTTCTTCAGATGCCTTAAATCTGGTAAATATCCTCACTCTAATCTTACTCAGACAAATCCCTAACTCCCCAAACACAGAATTTGGGACCTGCTCCTTTTGAAGTCAAGGGTCAAACTCTCACTGACTTCAAAGAGAGCATTGTGTTAAATCCACGTGTACCCAGAAGCCTCCTGCTACAAGACAGGCCCAG